CGTCTGTGGGCCTACTCTGTGCTGGGGCAGGGATACCGTGGGGAGGAGATTTCATTCAGTGACTCCTCTTGGTGCTGCCAGATTCGTCTTGAATCAGGCCAGGGGACAGTGTGGTCCCGGAGAGGGTGTCTGAGCTTTTCAGCACAAACAGGAACACTCCTGACCACCCCCCCTTCCCTCCCCGTTCTGAGGACTCCGCTGGGTGAGTGGAAGGAAAACACCCCCAAGTCCTAGGTCCTGGCAGGTCACGCCGTGGGTGCCTCTTGGATTTGATTTTCCCTGCGTTTCCTCCAACATGTGAAAGCAGAGGGGCATTCCTGACTTCTAGGAAATGGAAATGCGCACGTGCCCGGGCTCAGGGGGACCCAGCCTCCTTCTCAAATAAGAAAAGTCTCGGAGGGAGGACAAGACAGTCCTTGGAGTCCCTACCAGAGACCACATCACCCAGATGCAGGAGAGTCTCCCGAAGAGGACACCCTTGCCCACCAGTCACTCCGACGGGCCCAGACCTAGAGGAGACCAAAGCCCCACCTGCTCTTCATCCAGCGGGGGTCTTCCCAGACTCTCCTGTCCATTCCCCAGGGGACAGGGACAGACATCATCCAGGCTGGGCAGCGAAGTCGGCCCTCGGTGCCCATGGGCAGAGGAGACCCTCCCTGGGGGAACTCAAAGATGCCAGCGAGTGGGGCTCAAACGGCTGCGCCCCGAGTCCTCCCCAAGCCTTGGAGCAAATCATCTTTTAATTCTGAAACACCAAATATTTAATTTATGCTGTACCTCAAATGTCAAGTCCACCTCCCGGCACATAGCTTTGAAACCACGTCAGGAGGACTAACACTTTCCATATGGTGAGGACTTGGGACCTTTTAATTGTGCCAACTGGTATCATTCAAGGGTAATTCCCCTGGAATCCAGCATTCGGGCAGCAGCTGGGCCAGCCTCCAATCTCATCACCCAGCCCCACACGTCCCCCGGGGCTCCAACCAGGCCTGCACCCTCCTAATCTTCCCCAAATATCAAAATGCACTAGGTACCCCCTAATCAAATTACCCAACCGCCTGGCAGCCGCCTTTGATCTAGAGGAGGGCCCGCCTGCCCCGCAGCTCACGGCCTATTTCTCCAGGCAGCTCTGCTATAAAAGAACAAAAGGGTCAAGCTGGTGGGGGGGTGTGTTTTAAATCTGGCTGTGCACATTCACATATGCACGTGTGTACACGCCACGTGAGCAGCAGAGAGGCACCAAAGTTGTTTCTCCAAGTTGGCCTCCTACCTGCGTCCGCCCTGCTAGTCCATCCACCTGTGAAGCTCTGCTGTCCCCCCCCACTGCGGGTCCCACACCCAGGGTTTCTGATGGGTTTCTTCTGTAACTGCCTGCTGCTACTTCGTGTTCCAAAGCACTCCGCGACCTCCTGGAGATGATTCTACTTCTTCTGCTTTCTCATTCTGCTTAGCCCAGGGTCCTCTGGCATGTACATGGCTTGGTCTATTGTTCTTCTTTCAGAGCATTTACATGCCTCTCATTTCTCATTATGTTTCTCCTGTGAGCTCCTATTCCCTTGGACTTCATCATGTGCCCATGCAAAGGGCAGAACCTAGGCCTTAATCTGTTTCCCTGCAACGGAGCCTGTTGTGGAAGAACAGGAAAGCGGGGAGCAGAACTCTGGTTCCAGAATCCCTATCTGTGGGCTCCCCTCTCCCCTCTACAGATACCTCAGCATTCCAGAGAATTCCCAGATTCGACTCTTTTGAAGGAGTTATCAGCCCTGACTCTGCCAGGGATGAGAATATCACTGCACCCATTTTGCAGATGAGCTAATTAAGGTATCCAAAGGCAAAATGGCTTGCACAAGGTGACAAGCTCTTGTGGCACAGCGGGGCCTCGTTATTTCTGGACTTAGGAAGGAAGGCTAAGTTTAGTGCCAAAACGGTTACCCCCTCACACAGCGGGGTCCTGTGGGTAACTCAGACCCTCCCCAAACACTGGCCAAGCTCCTCAGACCCCACCAGGGAGGAGGAAGCAGGACGAGGGCCCCTTCTGCTTATGCAGGCCCCTCTACCAGCTCGGCTCAGCTCACAGTGCTTGGCAGCTGGCGGGCGAGCCCCCTTCCGAGGACTGAGTCAAATGAGTGCCCTTGCAGTGGTCTCTGTACGGGGCTTCACCACACACGACTTCCTTTCTCCTAGAAAGTACAGCAGAAGAGAGGGCACACCAGCTGGCTGGGAGCTCCAGAGGGTTACGGGAGATTAAGATAATGTAAGCAAAGCTTGACACACACACAGGCACTTAATAAATAGTAGCTATCATTGCAATAATAAGAACGCTAGTTGGATAAGCCACTCATGTGTCCCCAGCCACTTTGGTGACATGCCAGATGAAGGAGTGCAGACAGAAGTCATCCCCAAGACAGACCTGGGGCAGGCTGAGGACCGCTGCCAGGCCTGGAAGCCAGCAGACTTTGGAGCACACACCCTCCTACATCCTGGTGATATCACAGAGGAACCTGCCAGCCACCCCTTCCGCGCCGGTGGGGACAGAGAAATGAAACAGGACTGAGGTGCCCCCCCCCCCGGGTGCCCGGTGCAGAATCTCAGCATTCCCCAAACTTTGGGCATCCCATCCTCACATTCATAATTTTGACCACTTGCACTCAGTATTTCTCTCTGAATCAACTTGAAGTGAGACTATCGCTTTTAACTTGGCTTCATCCTAAGCAATAATAATACCCTGTGATAGCATGGTTCCATGGCCTAGCTATCTTTTCTGATTTAAAAAAAAAATAAGGGGGGAAGTAACTATTAAGACTAAAAATATTCCCTCAGGTGCCACCTGAAATTATGTCAGACACCTCACACACACACACACGCAGACACACACACACACACACACACACACACACACACACGGCTGCTCCACACCTTGGACGGTGCCCTGACCATCTCCCACGGGGACTCACCAGCCCCACCTCTGCAGATTCAGAAGCTGGGCCATCTTGGACCAAGGCAGGTGAGAACCCAGAAATCCAAATCCCAGTCACTAAGAACAACTCCCAGGGAGTCAGCGCCCCCCACCCCTTAACATCTCCAGCAGCTGAGCCCACCCGCCACATGTCCCACTGATGGCTCTATGCCTCACATCTTTAAAAGCACTTTGAACCAATATTAATGACCCCACAGCATTTCTCTGAGAGAGGGGGGCGAGGGACGAAGGGAGGGGAGCAAGCAGCATCCCATACTGTCCTCCGCTGGGGGGAAGAAACCAGGCAACAAAATTCCGTGACTTCACCAAAGCCGCAAACTTAAGCTGGGGCCCCCTCCCGGCCCTCCCTCATTTCCCCCAATGGCAACTTTACTGGCTTGCATTCCTCTTGCTGGGAACACTACTATTTAATTAAAAACGACAGACTTTTGTTTTCCTCTCCTTCTTTCCTCCTCCCTCTCATCCTCCCAGACTGGATGCCAAGGAGACCCACCAAAAACATGCGGGTAACATTTGTTATGGCTTTGAAGATAAAAGTCAATTGAAGTAAGCCCTCGCTGTATTTCAAGTTTCCCCTCTAGCATGGAGCAAGAGCTGCCTGGCAGTTAAGAAGGGGAAAAAAAAAAAAAAAAAGGACTGCAAATAAATGTCATTCTGCAGGAATAGTTTGTAAAAATAAACAGGCTGAAAAAAAAAAAAAGCCCAAAACTTGATTAATGGAAACCCACTCAGTTGGCCTCTGTCTTAGGCTGCAAATACATTTGTTCATATGGCTCAACTGGATCGTTTTCATTGGCCTTTAAATTTAAAAAGTAGATCAAACGCTAGAAGTGGTGGGAGAAAAAGCAGTTTGTAGTTGTGTTGTTCAAGGGCCCGACTGCAATGCCCCCCACCCACCAAGTTTTGACCTCTGCTAGGGGCTAGCAGCTCCGATTCCAACCCAGTCAACAGATGAGGAGAAACGGAGGAGAGAAAGCCCCCAGCTAAGCAGCGGGGAGGGGGGAGAACTCCTCCACCCGCAGAGGCTACTTCACACATGCACAGGCCCCCCCCCCAACATCAGCCCCTGCAATCTAACTGCCAGGTCCCACCACCCAAATGCACACACACACACACACACACACACATCTGAAGACTCCACCAGCCTCTCCCCAGCCATGGGCAAGACCAAAGAACTAACCAGACCCGAGACTCAGTCTGTTCCCCTCCAAGTTTAAAAAAAAAAAAATTAAATGTCACATCAAAAAGTTGATTCATCCTTTGATCCTCTGCTTGCGAGAGTTCCACGCAGACCATCTGAAAGCCCCGTGCAGAGTTCTGGAGCTCACACGACATCTGTGAACACCAGTCCCAGGCCAGGAGCTGTGGCTGCACTCACTCATTCCCCTGTCACAATCACTGCTCCTCCAGGAACAACTCCAACTCCTGGACCCACGGGCTGCAGGCACGGGGGCGTGCCAGGCGACAGCAGAGTGAGTGAGGCCTTTCCCGCCCTGTGAGCCTCACTAAGGGTGACGCTGGGTCCCAGTGGCCCCCAAGCTCTCCACTCAGATGGCAGATGGCACTAATGAATGCCACAGACACTAAGACACATTCGGAAGTGGCCATAAGACCCTGGGCCAGCACAGCCCTGCCCTCCAGCCAGATAGTCCCAATGCCTCCCCTCCCCCTAGCAACGCCCCTGTGAATGCTGGTCACAGAAACAAGGTAGAAGTCAAAGCAGGCCCCCCAAACCCCACTAGCACAGACCAGCTTTCCCGTCCACTAGACCTTTACCACCTCCTCACCCGGGACCTGCCTCCTGGCAGCCCTCTGCCCCCAACTGGGCAGGAGACTGGCCCATCAGACCTCTCAGGTTCCCCATAGCAGGGGGCACAGGGCTGTGCTGCTGGGGCAGGGGACCGTAGAGATAGGATTTTCAGACCTGGACACCGTGCCAGGAGGGTGCTAAAAGTGGGGATGGGTGAAGACCCATCTCTGAGGCTGAAAGGGGTGAGGGGAGAGGACAGGGTGGGGACCGTACCCGGGTGCCTCGACCAACGGTGCCCGCCAACCGCAGCTGTCGGGGTCCTGAGACACCACCTGGGCAGCGCTGCCTCCCGATCCACTCCTCGATGCCCTTCCGAGCCCAGGCAGCGCTCACGGCGAAGCTGTCACCTGGGACAGGGATGACACGAAGCCTCTGAGTCTGGGCCCCCCACCGGCCGGAAAGTTCCCCGAGAGTAGGAGAAGGAGTGGGCGCGGCAGAGAGTAAAGGCACCGAGGGGTCCGCTGGGGGTTCAAGAGCTTGGGCAAGATCCAAGAGACACGCAGGGAATCAGGAGAACCAGGTTCAGCAAAACCCCAAGAGCAAGGATCCCATCCGGGGCAAGGGAAGGCAGAACCCGGGGAAGAGGGGGTTGGGGATCAGGAGGCCAGGACAGCAGTGGGCTGAGGGTCAGGAGAGGGGGAGCAGTGGACGCAGAAGCCAAGAAAGGGGCTGGGGGCCAGAAAGAGGGCGACGGGATCCTGGGCTAGAGCACTTGGGGGTCTGAAGAAGGGGCGCTGTGAGCCCAGAGGGCGGGGACGCAGGAGGGGTGGGGCTTTAGGGTCAGAAGTGGGAGAGCAGGACCACAGGGAGGGGGTAGGCGGGACAGAGGCGGGGGCCCGAAGATGGCTCTAGGAGCTGTTTGGGGGGACTGGTCGCTGGCGTTGGGGGTTGGGGTGGCCCTGGTAATGAAATCCAGCGGGCTGGGCCGTCTGGCAGCCGTCCGCGGTGCTTCCCCCTTCCATCCCCCGGG